AAGCTTCACGGGCCTGAGGTTAGCAAGGAGCTAAACAAAGGGCACAGATATAGGAAAAGACTCAGGCTTATATAGACAGAAAGCTATACAGCCTGTAGGAAGATGTTGTATTTTTAGAGTTTCATATGGGAGCTGGAGATTAGGGACAGGATAAGAACAAACAAGGTGAGGAAGATGGTTGTCAAGAAAAGGAAAAATTGTCATGACAGGATGAGGAAGGTAAATGACAGGATAAGGAACACAGGATAAGGGAAACAAAGGCAATTCTTTTGGTACAAGATAGGCTACAGAATAAGCCTCAAACCCCCTCAGGGGCCTGGGAAAGTAACCCTTAATATTATTTTTAGTCCTAGGGCACTCTTTGCCTCCATATCACTTCCTTTTTTACTTCCCTCCTCCCTTCCTTCCTTCCTTCTTTACTTCCCTCCTTCCTTCCCTCCTTCCTTCCTCCATTCCTTGACAAAAGGGGCATATTTAAGCTATGGGTTAGGAAACAATTTCTAAAATGAGAGCTCTCAAAAATATACAGAGGCCTCTCTCTCCCTGTCTGGAGGGGTTGAGCACTCACTTCTCAGGGACGTTGAGGAGGAGTTGGGTTAGTCTCTGAGGTTCCTCTGGCTCTGACAGCCCGTGAATCTGTGACTGACTCTGCTTGGCCCTAGTGGGCAGAACCAGGAATGCTGGGTGGAGGCTGCTAATAGCCATGCTCAGGCTTGATGTCAGGGAAAACTCCCAACCAGTGAGAACTGCTCAGAAGTAGAGGAGAAGAGCAAGAGAGTGCAGAGAAGGATCCCCGGGCTTAGCACAGTGGCATCTCATTACTCTCTGTGGCCCCCTTGGGTCAGCAGCCTCCTGCCTTGATTGTCCCACTAAAGAGACAGCGTGGGGCTGCCCTTGTTCACATCAAGAAGGCCTGTTTACAGACTTGGTGAACATAATTAGTGGCACAGCTAGACTGGTTCTCTTTCATCTGGAAACAGCTGGGAGGACACGGAGGTCTGGAGAATTAACCTTTACAAGGTGGAGGGAGGTGGGGGTTGGCAGGAACTCTGATTGCTTCAAGGGTTTGTGAGCCTTACATTTAAATGTGCATGGATATTTGAGGCCTGCAAGTTTGGATTCTCCTTTTTCTTCCCCTCCCCCACTCCCCTTCCTCATTTGTCAACTGCCTACTTTTGTTTATATAAATCCCTGCCTTTTCCCTAAATATGGTATTTGAGGAGGCAGGGGGTGCGTGGGGATCCACACTCACCTGTGTGACCTCAAGGGACCTCTAGGTTGTTGGAGAAGAGTTGGAGTAGCTGGTCTCTGAGGTTCCTTCCAGCTGCCACAGCCTGTGAATCTGTGGCTGGCTCTGTTTGGCCTTTGTGGGCATTACCAGGAACACTGGGCAGAGGCTGCTAAGAGGCTGGATGTCAAAGAAAACTCTCAAACAGTGAGAGCTGCTCAGAAACAGAGGAGATGAGCCGGGGAAGAAGTGAGAAAGTTCATAGAACTGAGCACCTGGCCCATCCCTGCCCAGTTAGCAATGAGGGAGGGGTGGGGTTTGGTAGGGGATGGGTCTTAGAGGTCATCACTGGGGATGGATCTTAGAGGTCATCACTAGGGATGGGTCTTGGAGAGCATCATTGGAGGTGGATCTTAGAGGTCATTGCTGGGGGTGGGTCTTAGAGGTCATCACTGGGGATGGGTCTTAAAGGTCATAGCTGGGGATGGGTCTTAGAGGCCATATCTGGGGACGGGTCTTAGAGGTTATAGCTAGGGATTGGTCTTGGAGAGCATCATTGGAGGTGGATCTTAGAGGTCATTGCTGGGAGTGGGTCTTAGAGGTCTTTGCTGGGGGTGGGTCTTAGAGTCATATATAAATATATACATATATAAATATAGTTTCTCCCAACAATATATAATCTTCTTGAGGACAGGCATGGTCTTCTTTTTTATTTTGTATTCCCAGGGGCTACCACAGTGCTTGGCACATGGTGACTACTTAATAAATGCGTGTTAATTGGTTGGTGGAGAGAGGCACTATGGTGTGGTATAGGCCAGGAGATCTTGATTTATTTGCTACCTCTGGCAATTACTAGCCATGTGAGCTGGGGCAAATCACAGTAACATTGCTGTTACTGTGCACAACGATCTCCCACTTCTTTTCACTTTACTTTGCAACAGTTCAAATAGGTCTTGCCATATTTTTTTCTGAAACCACCTCCCTCATCATTTCTTATAGCACAATAGTACTCCACAATCATAGGCCATGACTTGTTCAGCCATTCCCCAACTGATGGGCATCCCCTCAATTTCTAATTCTTTGCCACAACAAAAAGAAATACTATAAATATTTTTGTACATATAGGTCCCTTTTCCCTTTTTAAAAGAATCTGCTTGGGGGTACAGACCTACTAATGGTATTGCTGGATCAAAAAATAACCATGGTTGGGCATAATTCCAGATTGTTCTCCAGAATAGTTGGGCCACTTTATTATTCCACTAACCATTCATTAATGCACCTATTTTGTCTCATCCACTCCAGCATTTGTCATTTCGGATAAGTATAAGGTGATACCTCAGAGTTATTTTAGTTTCTTCCCCTCTAATCAATAGTGATTTAGAGCACTTTTTTCATAAGACTATGGGTAGCATGGATTCCTTTTTCTGAAAACTGCCTGTTCATATCCTTTGACCATTTATCAATTGGGGAATGGCTCTTATTTTTATAAATTTGACTGAGAACCAATAAAATTTATCAGAGAAATTTGCTATAATTTTTTATATTATTTCATTGTCTATGGTACCTTTCAGCAAAATGTAGCTTTTCTGATTTTCTCTTTCAATTAGGTCTAATTTTTCTTTTGCTTTGCTTTGGGATCGTGACTGCCACCCCTGCCCTCTTTACTTTAGCTGAAGGAGAATAGACTTAGTTCCAACCCTTCATTTCAATTCTGTGTGTCTTTCTGTACCAGGTGTGTCCCTTGTACACAGTATATTGTTAGAGTCTGATTTCTCATCCATTCTGCTATCTATTTCCATTCTCCATTCACATTCACAGTTAAGATGACTAACTGTATATTTCCCTCCATCCTATTATTTTTCTGTTTTCCCTTCTCTCTTTTCATCCTGTCTCTCCTCAAAAGTCTGTTTTGCTTCTGACCCCAGCCTCCCCCAATCCTCTCTCCCCCTTATTATCTCCTTCTATTTCTTTTATCCCCTTCCCCTCCTATCTCCTTACTGGGTGAGTTACATTTCTATACCCAACTGAGTGTGCGTACGCATTCTTTCCTCTTTGAACCAATTCCTATGAGAGCAAAGTTCAAGCATTGCCCGCCACCTTCCTCCTATTTTCTCCACCACTATAAAAACTCTTCCTTGTGCATCTTCTTTATGTGAGAAAACTTGCCCCATTCGACCGCTCCCTTCCCCCTTCTCCCGATGCATCCCTCTTTTTCACCCCATATTCTTTTTTTTTGGAGATCATCCCAACATAGTTGACACATACACATGTCCTCTGTCTGTGTAAATACCTTCTAACTGCCCTAATAATGATGACATTCTTAGGAATTACCTGTATCAGTTTTCTACATAGGAATATAAAGTTTAACTTTATTGAGAGCCTTGGGATCACTTTTTCATGTTTGCCTTTTTATGCTTCTCTTGAGTCCTCTTTTAGAACATAAAACTTTCTGTTTAGCTCTAGCCTTTTCATCAGGAATGCTTGAAAATCTGCTATTTCATTAAATATCCATTTTCCCCTGAAGGATTATACTCAGTTTTGCTGTGTAGGTCATTCTTGGTTGTAATCCTAGTTCCTTTGTAATATCGTAATCCAAGCCCTCTGCTCCTTTAAAGTGGAAGCTGCTAAATCTTGTGTGATCCTGACTGTGGCTCCATGATACTTGAATTGTTTTTTTCTGGACACTTGCAGTATTTTTTTTCCTTTACCTGAGAGGTCTGGAATTTGGCTACAATATTCCTGGGAGTTTTCATTTTGGGATCTCTTTCAGGAGGTGATCAATGTCTATTTTACTCTCTGGATCTATGATATCAGGGCAGATTTTTCTTTATAATTTCTTAAAATATGACATCTAGGTCCTGGAACTGTGACCGGGTACCCTCCTCCCTTGGGAATGATTACAAGTGCTTTTCTCCATCCTAGAACTATAATATAGAACTGTCTGTGTATGGGCAATAGAATTGTTGGTCAGCACCAGCTGCACCTCGTGCCAGCAAAGGATCTCCTGTAATCTCTTTCTGACCAGTTGTCCAAGCCCCTTACCATTTCTGAGCTGAGAGCTCCTGAAGCTGCTGCTACTGTTCCAGCCACCTCCAAGGCCCCTCCACTAGTGCTCCTGCCACGCTCCTGGCCTGCGCCCACCCTGTGTTACAGACCTCTCCTGCAGACCTCCTAAGCTGTCTTAGGCTGGACAAATGTCTCCCCCTGACCTTTTGTTGGCTCTGCTGCTCCAAAATTTGACTTGAAGTGCTATTTTAAAGTTGTTTGAAGAGAAATGTTGGGAGAAATGTTCAGCTGGGTCCTGGCCCATAGTCCTCCATCTTGTAAAATCTAGGCCTTAACTTATCAATGCATAAAATGGGGATGATAATACCTGTAATGCCTGCCTTGCAGGGTTATTGTGAGGACTGATGAGATAGAGTGTATAAAGTTCTATGTGACCCTTAAGGCATTTATACTTATCAACTATTATTTATTGTTCTTATTTTCATTATTGTCAGTTTTCTCCAAATAGCCCCTTGCCACACACATATATTCACCTATGTGTGATAATCCTGTATTTCTCTCTCCGCTCCCTCCCCCCCATCCCAAAGACATCTTTGAGTGATGTTTGGCTCTCATTTTGAGGGTATGTGTGTATGTGTGTATGTGTGTGTGCATGTATGCATATGTGTGTATGTGTGCACGAATGCACATGCATGTGTGTATGTATATTTGGAAATTGGGGGCATTTTTGTGTTCTATAATCGCCTCTCCCTGGACCCTTCCCCAGATCACTGACCTGACCACCGAGCTCTCTGATGAACGCTTCAAAGGAGAAGTGGCCTGCCGGGTCCTGGAGAGTGAGCGGGCAGAGCGTCTCCGGGCCTCCAGAGAGATCCGGGAGCTGAAGGTGGGTGTCTCTGCCTGCACCTCTGGGCTTAGCATCTGGGTGAGGGCAGAGGTGACATCAAGGTCAGAAGCTGAGCTCCCCTTTCCTTCAATGAACAATCAATCAGTCAGTCCTCAGCCACGTGCCAGGCTGTGCCCTCAAGGATCCCCTCATTCTAACGGGGAGACGATGCGTCCACAAATAGGAAGATACAAGATTCATACAGAGCTGATGGAAGGGGAGGCCTGAGCAGTTGAGGGGGGCTAGGAAAGGCCTCATGTTTGAGCCAAGTCCTGAAGGAAGGCAGGGAAGCTAAGGGAGCCAGGAGGCAAGGAGGGAAAGCATTCCAGGTATGGGGCACAGCCAGCAGTGTCCTGGGAGAGGAACAGGAAGTAGTACAGCAGCTGAGCTGTGGAGGGGAGGAACGTGTAAGAAGCCCGGAAAGAGAGAGAGAGAAGGGCCAGGCCAGCTAGTGAAGAAGACCTCCGAATGCCAGATAGAGGAGTTTCTATTTGGTCTTTGTGTATCACTTGGGCGGGAGAGGCCCGAGGGCCAAAGGTGTCTGTGCCCTCTGTCCAGCTTGGTTTTCCATCTTGACACCTTTTTCCCCTTTCAGAGTAAATATGAACAAACACAGAAGAGTTTGGGGTCAGTGGAGAAGCAGCTGGAGGAAGCCCAGCAGAAAATTGAATTGTGTGAAGTGGGGAAGTCTCATTCTGGAGAAGGTGAGCCTCAGGAGTGCGAAGTGGCCCTCTGCTGTGCCATCTCCTTCCTCCTCAATCTCGGCGCCGGCTTAGCGAGCCTTGGACCCCCGTCCATCTAGTGCTCTGACTAATGTCAGAACCATATCCTGTCCTCGCTAGGGCCTGATGCCCTCTGCTGCTGGAGTCCTCCCCTCCCTCTGGGTCTCCAGGCTGCCAGCTGATGGATGGGCAGACTGACATCTCTGTTGACTTGTCACCAATGCTTCTGCTCCTCAGCTCAGGGAGAGGGAAGAAAGGTGTCAGCTCCTGTCAGACCTGGTGGTCTCCTGTCAAAGCCCCCAAGGCACTCATGTTCCAGTTATGTCAGAAGCATTGGCAGGAGTAGAGGGTGGAGAGGGGCCTCTGCCAGGATAGGGTGATGATGACATGAGAAGGCTAGTTTTCTTATTTTTTTCTGTCTGTGCTTTTGTCTGTGGTCCTCCTGAGTGGGCTTTCTGCGGTGCCTCATTTAGACCCGGCCCTGAAGTATGAATAGCAGTGAGTGGCCCAGCGTAGGGAGCAGGTGCTGAGTTTGGCCACACGGCTCAGGCACAGACCATGCCTCCTTATCACCTTTGTAGGGAACACAAAGCTAGGAAGGGGAGCTAACACCTCAGATGATGGTCATGCTTCTGGAAGACTTCGTACGACCGCAGCATTGGGGTGAATTTAATAAGATGGAGTTTAAAAAGTGTTAAATTGGGCCCATAGGATTGTGGCCGTGGATCTGGAAGGGACCTTAGGGGTCATCGAGGCTAACCATCTCATTTTACAGATGAAGAAACTGAGGCACCAAGAGATTAATTTACTTGTTCATGGTAGCAGAGCTGATAATTGTCTGATGCTGAGTCTAGCGCACCACATGACCTAGTCACATTTTGGGTTCAAAAACTCCAGGAATATGGGGCTTGTGTCACCCATTTTAGAGAGGAGGAAACTGAGGTCCAGAGAAGGGAAGTTACTTGTCCAGGTCACATGGTCAGTAAAAGATGGAGGATTTGACCCCAGATCCCCTGGCTATAACTCCAACACTGTGTCTTCTATGCTAAATTGCCTCCCATCATGTGGCATAAGCTATAGATAGCTGCACAACTAAGTATGGCAGTAAAAAGTGTACTCAATCAATGGAGTTTTGAGTGCTATTAGAATAGTAAGATGGTGGCTCTCCCAGTGGGCTAGGGTAATCAGAGCAAGCTTCATGAGGGAAGTGGGACTTCAGCTGGGTCTTGAAGGATGGACAGGCAGGATATCAATAGGCAGAGAAAGAGAAATCCTTACTCTGCTGTGGAACACTTCCCTTTCTCCTGAGAAGGGGTTGTACCCCATACCCTGCCTCTGGGCCTCAGGGACTTTAGGCAGTATCTTCAGGGAAGTGACTAGCCACGTTCACAGAGGCAGAATCCCAGAATCCCAGAATGCCTGAGTTGGAAGGGACTTTGGTGGCCACAGAGTCCAACGCATATCTAGACAAGAGTTCTAGAACACATCTGATCAGGGTCATCCAGCCCCTGCTTGAAGACCTCCAACAGGAGTGAACCCACCCCCTTCTATCATTGCAGGGAGGTTTTCCCAACATGAAGCCTGAATTCGTCAGTTTTCTCATTTGTAAAATGGATTTGATGGCCTTGGGGGGCCCCTTCCAGTTCTCGATCTGAATTGAAGAGCCCACAAAGTCTAGTACAGCCCTTTCTTCGCTGTTCCTCACTACTTTGTTCTGGGTTCCACATCCTCTGGCCTCCGTGTTGTGCCTTGTCTGAGCGCATGCCTTCTCCTTTCCACAGCGGATGACTGGCAAACACGATTTGACTGCGCACAGACAGAAATCGAGTTTCTCAGAAAACGCCTCCTGATGTGTGAGGAGAGACTAGAATCTGAACTGTCTGCCAGGAAGGAATTGGAAGAGAAGGTGAGAGGAGGATGGGGAGCCTCCTGACTAGCTCTGTTCTACCGGCGCTGCTGAGAGTGGATGGGAGGGCCTGGAGTGCTAGACCCCAACTGATAAAGAGAATGTCAAAGCTCAAAGGGGCCTCAGAACAGGGAATGTCAGGGCTGGGAGGGACCTCAGAACAGGGAATGTCAGAGCTGAGAGGGATGTTAGAGGTCTAGTTAGCAGGGGTTGAAAAGAAAGAGACCATCAGCAGCAATCTTAACAGCTTCCCAATTGCATTTTGGTTATAAAACCTTTCATTGCAAGATGAAGAAAATGTTTTCTCCAAACCGATATATCCTTCCTGGACCTAATCTCTGACCATATCCTGATGCTTTTCTTTTTCTGGGAAGGGACCTGGGTGTTGTGGAAAGGGCCCCAGCTTGGAAGGAGGAGAGCAAGGCTGTAGTCCTCACTCTGCTCTTGGTTCTCTGCATGACCTTGAATAAGGCACTGGACTCCAGTTTTCCTCGACTATAACAGGAAAGTTCTGGACTCTCACATCCTGTTTAGACATCTTCTGATTCTGGGATATAGGGTATGAAAAGCCAAAAATGGGAACAATTTGTGGACTGACCTGGTCAGGGGAGGCTTCGAGAATGTGAGAGGTGGGGACTTACCTAGCCAACAAACCCTTCCTCTCCACTCTAGGGCTTTTGGAGCAGACCCCCCCCCCAGTTCGTTATGGCCAAACTCTTAATGACACGTGATGAGTTGAGGCCAAAGAGCTGAGCAGTCTCCAGCCTCCAAGATGAGAGTGTGGAGCCACCATTTGCCTCCCTGGCAGATGTTAAATAGCCCTTCCCAAGAAACTTGCACAGTAGATAAAGAGTCAGGAGCTGCTGCTGGGGGAAAAGGGGAGGCAGTCCAGGCCTTTAATAGCTGATTATCAAGTTAGGTTAGTTTCCCCAAGGAGAGGGGGGAAAATCTTCATGCTACATTAAAAAATAATAAAATGGCAACATTTCCTGAGTGGTGGAATACAAGAAGGCATAGTAGAGTACTTACTTTCAGACGCTGAATTTAGAATTACAGGCTTCATTAACTCAACATTTTTGCTTATTTAGTACAGTTCCTTAATGAGCTGGCTTCTCAGAGTGGCTTTGCCGAGTTCCCTCCCTCCAAACTAGAACACTGGGGGGGACATCGCCTGCCAGAAGAGGGGGGAGGCCTCTGCTGAGCTTGTTTTCAAGGCTCTTATTGAGCTCAGCCCAACCTCCGCTCCCCTGCTCGCAAGGCTCTGAGGCCTCCCTACTGCCATGAGGATAAAGTTCAAGCCTCCGTTTTTGTTGGGGTTGCTGTTCAGTCATTTCAGTCATATCTGACTTCTCGTGACCCTGTTTGGTGTTTTCTTGGCCGAGATACTGGAGAAGTTTGCCATTTCCTTCTCCAGCTCATTTTACAGATGAGGAAACTGAGGCAAACAGGGTAGAGCAACTTGTAGGGCCTTAAAACTCTCTCCAAATGCTGGTTATTACTCAAGAGTCTCTGATCCAAAGTGAAATGATGAGTTCACAAAGGTGCCTTGAGAAGTATAACATGCAGGAAGATGATGAAGCCGAGGGGCCGCTGAAAATGCCATGTTCCTCTTCTTGCAGCTCAGGGAAGCTCAGAACACCTATGAGGAGGTTAGAAGAAGCTTTCATCAGCTGAAGAAGAAGTGCCGCAATCTGACCTGTGACCTTGAGGACACCCGAGTACTGCTGGAGAACCAGCAGAGTCGGAATCATGACCTGGAGAAGAAGCAAAAAAAGTAAGCTGGGCCATCCACTGGCCAGAGATAAGCACAGTGGTGTGGAAAGAGAAGTAGGAGGACCTGAGTTCAAATCCCACCTCCAACCTGTGCTTGCTCTGAGGCCAGTCTGGGCAAGTCTCTTAATGTGGCTGGGCTTCAATCTCCTCCCCTGGAAAATGGGTATAATAAAAGCACCTGCCACATACAGGCTGTTGTGAGGCACACACACACACACACATATTTGCATACACACATATACTCACATATTATATATATATACAAACACGTATATTCATATATACATACAGATACACACATTACATAGATATAAACACACATATATGTATATACACATGTACATATACATATTATATACATGTAATCACACATACTTATATATATGCACATGATATCTATATAAATACATATATATTTTATATATATATATACTGCACACACATATATACACAAGCATGAATATATATATATATTTATAAATACATGCATGCATTATATCTATATAAATACATACACACATATACAAATCTATACGCACATATATACATATACATATATTTAAATACATATCTAGTTATACATACATATACACATATTATGTATACACAAATACATACGTGTATTTATATGCACATATATGCACATGATATCTATATAAAGAATACATGTATAGTATACACACACATATATATATCAACACATAATATATATATTTACAAACACATATATAGATACATACTTATATACATACACACACACAAACCTATATTTATACATACATATATACAAACATATTACGTACATATAAACACACACATGTATTTGTACATACATACACACATATTATATATACACACATATATGTGTATATATATGTACATGTGTATACATTTAATAGTGATATAATTAATCTAAAGACCCGGGTTTTTTAGCTGACATAGCACAACATCATTATGATGACACAGTGGTCAAGAAGATGGATGTAATTTTCAGCTCTTCCACGAGGGACACAGTGTCCAGGGCTAGGAAGGTGATTGTCCCACTGAACTTTGACTTGGTCAGACCATAACTGGATGATTGTGCTCAGTTCTGGGCAGTACAGTTTTAGGAGGACGTTGATGAGAGCTTCCAAAGGAGGGCGACCAGGGTGATGAAGAGCTCTAGGTCCACCATATTGAGGGCCAGTTGAAGGAAATGGGGATGTGTAGTCTGGAGAAGATTTGAGTGGAGGGAGGCAGCATCACGCATGCATGCATGCATGAATGAATGAAAAAAGCACGTATTAAGTTCTTACTATGTACAAAGAACCACACTCAACATTAAGCGAAAAACAAGGGCACAGATGGCCCCTGCTCTCAAGGTTCAGACACAGGAGGTTTCAGCTGTAAGTCAGATGGAAAGGCCAGTGGTCTTTAGGGTGCAGGAGAGAAGCAGATGGTAGTACAACTTTGCTAGTATCATTGTCATCAATGAGGCCATTTGGCAGCGCTGGGGATGTTGGTGGGGGGACCTTTCCTGGCTGGGTCTCCAGTTGCTGTGGCCGCTAAAAGGCAACTGTCAGGTGACATCCCACAAGGGTTGCTCCCCTGGATGATGGCTATCGGGGCCACGCTGGAAGAAGGGCTGTTGGTCTGGGGCACGGTGCTACTCTCAGGGCTCTTGGGCTTCCCGGACCTGAAGTCCTACTTGGAGGAAACAACATCCATCAGTCGGTCAATATTAAGCACCTACTGTGTGCCAGGCTAGGTGCTGGGGAAATAAACACGAGTGAAACAGCCCCTGCCCTCAAGGGCCTTACATTCTGTTAAGGGGAGAAATATGTACATATATAGACAATTACAAGAGAGATTCGAGAGATAATGTCTACTGTGGGTCAGGTGCTAGAGACATTGAGACAAAAGTGAAACCAACAGTCCCTGTTCTCAAGAAGCTTACAATCACTCAGTCCATCAATGAGCAATTACTAAAAACTAATCATGTGCTAGGCCCTGTTCTAAGATCTGTTGTTATAGTTCAGTTGTTTCAGTCATGTCTGACTCTGTGATCCCATTTGGGGTTTTCTTGGGGGACATACTGGTGTGGTTGGCCATTTCTTTCTCCAGCTCATTTTACAGATGAGGAAACTGAGGCAAACAGTGAAGTGACATGCCCAGGGTCACATAGCTAGTGTCTGAGGCTGGATGTGAACTCGGGTCTTCCTCACTACAAGCCTGGTTGCTCTATCTGCTGCACCACCTAGCCGCCCCAAATGCTGGTGACACAGACAAAAATAAAAATAAAGGGCAGTGGTTGAGAGCCCTATGGAGACCTTTAAATGCCAAACTGAGGAGTTTTCATTTTATTAAAAGGCAAGAGAGAACTGAAGGAGCTTCTTGGTCAGGGCAGTGACTTGGTCAGGCCTGCGTTTTAGGAATAAACTTGGTAGCAGGAAAAACATGAGCTTACATTCTTTGTAAGGAGGAAAAAGCATCAGTCAATCAACAAGCACTTATTAAGTTCCTATTATGTGCCAGGCACTGTATAAGATCAAAGCTGAAATAGTCCCTGCCCTGCAGGAGCTTACATTCTCCCTGGGTGTGGAGAGACACACAACATGAGCACTTGAAGGGAGACAGCCTTGGAGCAGAAGTCCCAGGTTCAGGTTCTGTTTCTGCTCTCTGCTGTCTGAGTGATCTTGGGTTAGTCTCGTGGCCTCTCTCTGCTTTAGGCAGCTGTCTCTGGCTCTCCTCGGCAGAGCAGGTGAGATTCCTTAGGGCAATGGCTTTACAGGTCTGGTCCAAAGCCAAATGCTGAGCAGTAATCTGAGGGAGGGGTGGGGAGGAGAGGGTGAGCCTGGCAGGCGTCATCAAATGCTTTCAGGGCTGAGAATCTGAGCGTGCCAAGAGGCAGAGGGGAGGACAGCCGAGAGCCTGGGGAAGAACACGGGGGTGGGGGCTAGAGGAGGAGAGAAACTGGGGGTAAAAACCTCTGGGAACTGGGTCTAGAGATGGGGAGACAGTGTCAAGATCAGCTCCAAGCTGACCTGTGGGATCATGGTTTGAAAGCCGGCAGAGACTTCTGAAGTCAGCACAGCCCAGCGCCTTCCTTTTACAGTCGAGGACACTGGAGCGAAGAGGGAGAAAGTGGCCTGTTTCCGGTTGCTTATTCAGACAGTCAAAAGCAGAGCCAAGGTTGAACCCCAGGGCTCTGACTCTGAGCCCAGCCCTCTAGCTGCTGCCTAAGGGAACAACTCTCATGAACCCCGGTGTGGAGATACCCGAAGCCAGCGTCCAGACAGAGGAAACCATTTCTTGAACCAATGGAGAGGTAGCAGGGCATGTGAGATTGGAAGTCAGAGGTCCTGGATTCAAATCCCCATTCTGCCACTTACTGTATGACTCTGGCCGCATCATTGATCCTCTGGCTCTTCATTTCTTCATCTGTAAAATGGAGAGGTTGAACCAGATGGTTTCTGGGGTCCCTTCCACCTCTATACCTATGACCTTACATTCCTGCCCTTACTTGGGCAAGTCAGTCCAACTCTCTGAGCCTCAGTTTCCCCACTTGTAAAGCTGGGGAATGGCCTCTGAGGTGTCTCCTACCTCTAGATTTATGAAAGCTAGGATTCCTTCTAGATGGGGGAAAACAATGACTGAAACCAGCAAAGGAAGTTGCTCTGGCATGCGTCTATGACTGTCCCGCTGAGGATCCACGTCCGGAAGCGTAGAGGGCAGCTGGCTTCGAGGAGAGGACCAGCCCACCGGGGCAGGGCGCCCCCATCCTCCTCCTCTTTTCCCATTCTGACTCTTGGGACCCCGTGGGCTTCTCCTGGAGGCTCGCCTTGTCAGAGTCAGCCTTGGGGTATCTGGAGCTGTTGGGGGGGGCGGGGTCTTTTCCGTCCCTTTGTTCTGTAACGAAAACTCCAAGCCAGAGGGAGGGGAATGGAACTGCTTATTGACTCAGAGAAGGAAGATCCCTGTGTGCTGTCAGACTTGTGTGCGCCTGTGTGTTTACCATAAGTGACTGTTTACCAACAGGCAGCAAATAGAATTTGTAACTCCATTGAGGTGTGCCGACATCAAACCTGAACACCATTTAGCTCTCACCTCCCTCTCTCCACCCAGGAGTTTGCTTTTCCCCTGCTCTGTTTTTTCTTCAAGAAGATGAAGACCTTCTGGGAAGTCTTTCCATCGATCTATCCATCAACTGAGAAGCATTTAAGAGCCTACTATGTGCTGGGCTCTGTGCCAGCCAAGAGGGGATTCAAAGATAAAAACAAACATTCCTTTGCCCTCAAGGAGCTTACCTTCTAGCAGAGGATACTATATGTCAAAACATGGCGAAATGGTGAGAACAGACTTAGAGATATTAGCAGACATCCATCTTCCCTTTCCGGCCTCTGTCCTTTGTGTAGCGTCCCAGGATGGTGAGAAGACTGGAGACCATTCCAAATGGCACCCTACACTCCAGGCCAAAATTTCCTGGCCTTTTCCTGATCCCTAAATTGTGGAATCTCACTAAACAGAAATCTGTTTCACAACATACCCAGAAATTGGCCATCCATACAACATTTCAACTTTGGTGGGGGGCGGGTCTCCTGGATATTGCAGGGCCCTACCACACAAGACTGGCTTGTTAATGGTGGAAGATCAGGCAGCACACCTCCAAGTGGCCCTCAAAATACACTGTATAGATGGCCCATCTACTGGACCTCCCCAACCTGGGCCACCATCCATGTCTCATGTGTGGGGTACCAAATGAGACCTCCAAGACATTCTGGTCCCAGCTCCTTGTCCCCCTTGGTGCTAAACCTCCTTGAAGACTACTGGCCCAGAATGGACCCCAGGCATCTATCTGTCGTTGCTATAGTGACAAAGTGGGTCATAAAGGTCAGACCTGAGAGCTGATAGAACCTGTTGGCCTGAGTCTTGGGGAAACAACCTTCCTGGGAAATGACTCCAGTGGGACTTCTTGCTTCCCAGTTGACTGACTCAGTTCCTAATTCGGGGCGGGGAGTCAGGCTTCCAGGGAAGTAAATAAATTTGTGTTTCCGATTGCCTGGTCTAGCCTTTCATAGTTGATCAATGAGTCATGGAGAGCAGTGCATGGGGTGGCCATTCACATGCTTCCAGAGGTGCCATGGAGGGTCCCTGACTAGGATACTGGCAACCTGGAGCTCGTCCAGAGGTGGACGACCAGGATGGTGAGAAGACTGGAGAGCACACCAGACAAGGGCCAGTCAAAGGAACGGAAGATTATTTGCCTGGAGAAGAGAAGATTTAGGGGATGCACAATAGTTATGCTCGAGGATTTGAAAGGCTGACCAGTGGGAAAGGGTTTAACCTAGTTCTGCCTGGCCCCAGGGGATAGATCTATTGGGGACTGGAAGGGGCTGCCTCTAGGGTAAGTCTTTCCTTCTTACTGGGGGGGGAAGGGCCATCAATTAAAGGCTGGACAACCACTAACAGAGGATGTGATTGACAGAAGGGATTCTGGTCCACCAGACAATGAGCATTTATGGAACACTTATTGTATGCCAAGTTGGACTGAATCACCTGTGAGCTCCCTTCTAATGCGGAGATTCTGAGATGAAAATGGTCTTAGAAATACTGTCATTCCCTGCCTTCATGGAAGGCTGGCGCCAGGGCCAACGAGGGAATTTTTATAAGGTCTTCAACACTGACTTAGAAGGGACCTTAGAAGGGCTCTTTTCCATCCTCACACATGCCCTGAATCCTTTGTTCTTCTATTGAACTATGCTGCCTCATGGTTTCAATAAGAGCCCCACTATGGAATCCAGGCGGGGTCTGGCGTTGGAAGTTGGGGTTCAACACCCAACTCAGCCTTAGTTTCCTCATCTACAAAATGGGGAGATTGAACTAGATGACTTGAGGGCCCTTTTAGCATGAAATCTATAATAATAATAGTAATTATAATAAAATAATAGCTAGCATTTATATAGATAGTATTTTAAGGTTTGCGAAACAATTTACATAGGTTACCCCAAATCTGTAGTCCTCTGGTGCTATTAAAGTCACCAGGATACCCAGAAATGTTGAATTACTTGTTTTCTTCAAGTGAACCCACAGACACATCCCTGGGAATCATACCTTCCTCTCCTTCCAGGGCTCTAGGCCTGGCGCATGGCCTGGTGGGCTCACCCTGGACAGTTTAGCTGTGACTGGTTTAGTGATTAGTGAGCCCCTTCCAGATTGAAAGGCAGCCTCTTCCCAGCTTGGGGGTCCTCTGCTTTCTGAAGGAATGAGGATTGATGTGGAATAAGACCTTGAATCTATCACTCATGGCCTCATCAAATGTTCTTCTTTCCATCTGGGGCAAGAGCCACCTAGCAGAGGTATTCTGAGTCCCCTGCAGGGCGAAGAGGTGGGTTATAGCTGGTGTTAGGGTGTCCTTTAAGGAGGCAACATGAGCGGGGTGGAGAGAGCGTTGCAACTGGAGTCTGAGAGGCTGGGTTCGATCCCAGCTCAGCTACAAACTACCTGTATTAATTTGAGAAAATACCGTGTGACAAGTCACTTATCCCTGATTGCCTCCTCAAAACAAACAAAAAATAAATTCAAGAAAATAAGTGAGTTTTTCTGGACCTGTTAAAATGGAGGAGCTGGGCTCCATGACTTCAGACTCTAGATTCTATGATTCTCCTGGACTTTAGAAATGCCCCTCTTGAAATTACAACCATGTATTTTTACATGTATACATATGTATTATTATATGTATGTATTATAGCTATGTATTTTTACATACACACACGTGCACACACATACACACATATTTGGTACACCCTGCCTGCATCATCCGTTTGCTCACTCCCTGCCATATTCTCTCTCCATCTATCCTTCCCCTCCGCCCCTCCTCCCCTCCTCCCCTCCTCCCTTCTCCTCCTCCTCCCCTCCTCTCCTCTCTTTCCTCCAACTTCTGTTGGAATGAAGCAGTAACATCCTTTCTTTCCTGGGCAGATTTGATATGCAATTAACCCAAGCTATTGGCGAATCATTGTTTGAAAGGGGCCTCCGGGAGAAACTGTCCCAGGAAAATGCTAGCATCCGATGGGAGCTTGGCAAACTTCAGAGCAAGTTAGAGGTAAGTGGAGAGGAAGAGCCGCGGGCCCTGGGGGCCCCGTGATTTTTCTGATTCAAGTAGTAAAAGCTAGACATGAATTGTATGCTCGCAGGAAGAGGAGGTGAATAGTTTGGGAAGACCTGTGTTCTTGCATTTACTCTGCTCTGAAGCAGTCCCATGGGATGGGTAAAGATTTCTGCAAGCAGCCAGTGGGGTCTTTGTTCTCCAGCCCCTGAGAGGAAGTGTAGTTCAGTGGTAAGTGCTCTGTTTGAGGAGGCAGGAAGGAGAGTGGTTTATTTTCCTCTGCTTTCTTTCATTCCTGTTCACGCCTACTAAGCTGTGTTTCCTGGAATAAATCCTTTGGTAGTCTCGTTTGTGGTAATAGGAATTTAATTCAATGTCCATTTTAAGGGCCTAATATATGTGACAGGCAATATGGCATGTGTTGTGTGTTGGCCTTGGGATCAGGAAGGCTCCAGGTCTGAGTCCTGTCTCTGTCCCGTACTGTGTGACCCTAGGCAAGTGACTTAGGCCCTCACTGTACCAGGCAGCTCTCAGAGACCTTCTGATTTGTGCTAGTGGAAGGAGTTTCCATGCTGGGAGTCCCCAGGAGTAAGGAAATCACTGCAAAGTGAGGTTCATAGGGTCCCTGATCAGATCTGGAAGTGACTTTAGAGGCCAGTGAATCCAGCCTCATTTTTATAGATGAAGAAACTGAGAGCCAATCAATTAGTCAACCAACTAGCATGTATTAGTAAGTGCCTACTGTGTGCCTGCTACTGTGGATATACAGAGACGGAGATGAAACAGTCCCCATCCTCAAGAGGCCTATATCGTCATGGGGTCGGGGCAGATTATGGGACTTGGGGAATCAAGGCCATGGGAGTTGCTTGTGACAGCAGCAGGAGACTCGTCCTTGGAGGGACACCTCAGAACAGGAGTGGGCCAGTGACATCATGGATGGGGATCCTTCTTCCAGGGGGGCAGAGGAGGAATGCAGGCCTCTGATAACTGGGAGGGTTTTGTCCATGTCCTTCCATAGACAAGCCAACTAATGGTTCCTGTTCTCAAGTAGCTTACATTATACTCAGAGAGGAAACAACATATCCACAGATAAATCAATTCCTACCAAACACTCAAAAAAAATACAGGGATTGGGGAGGGGGCTGCATTAATAACTGAAGGGGTCAGGAAGCTGAGCCTGTGAGGGTGCCCAAAGTTCAAGAGGCAGAGATGAGAATGGAGACCATTGCTGGGCATGGCACATAACTGTGCCAAGGCGCAGAGGTGGGATATGAAATGTGCAGGAAAGGCGATGTCCTATACAGGGCATATCAAGAACTTGAGGAGGAAAGACTCGAGCACATGGTGCAGCCACATTACTCCTCCTCTCTAAACCCTTCAATGGCTCCCCATTACTTCTAGAATCAGTACAAATTGCTTAGCCTTATATCCAAAGCCCTTCACCATCCAGTTCTTAGTATCCAGATTTAGTTAGCACACTTTTTTTCTTTTTTTGGCTAGGCAATGAAGTTAAGGGACTTTCCTAGGGTCACACAGCTTGTAAGTGTCATGTGTCAGAGGCCAGATTTGAATTCAAGTCCTCCTGACTCCAGGGCCGGTGCTCCATCCACTGCGCCACCTGCTGCCCCATTTAGCATACTCTTATGTTCTGGCCAAACATACCTACTAGCTTTTCCCATCTCCCATCCCTGCTTGCTTCATTCAGTCGGGAATTGGGACATGCACCCCAGCTGCGCAGTGGTGCCTTCACATAATGCCTGGAATGTACCTCCTCCTCAGAAAGATCCTTTCTTCCAAGACTCGGTTTATGTCCCACTTCCTCTAGGAAGGCTTCTCTGTTCCATGCCCACCCCTACCCCATATGTGTACTCTCCTTCCTCAAAGTACCTTAGCACACTGCCCGGCGCATAGTAGGTGCTTAATAAATGTTTACTGACTGACTGACTTGTCTGTATACATGTGGCATCTCGGAAGCCCGTGTCTCCTGCGGTCTCCTCGGTCCAGTGTCTGAAATGTTTTCTTTCCCCAGGAAAAGGAGCAGGAAACTCTGGGTCTGAAACAGAAGCTTGAGATGCTGAAGAGTCAAACCATTGACTTAAGGCCCCTTGGGGAGGCAGCTGTAGATGCCTTACAGAGAGAGCTCTGGGACCTGAAGTCCAGTGCTTTCGAGCAGCAGCAGATACAGAGTGAGCAGGAGGCTACCATTAAGAAACTGGAGCAGGTACAGAGGACCTCCCACCTTCCTCCCTTCTTCTCTCCTCCCAGCTGGTGGGGTTTGCCATTTCCTTCTCCAGCTCATTTTACAGATGAGGAACCTGAGGCAGACAGAGTAAACTGACTTGCTCAGGGTCACACAGCTAGTAAGAGTCTGAGGCCGGCTTTGAACTCAGGCCCTTCTGATTCCAGACCTGGCAGCATTCTATCCACTGTACCACCTGGCTGCCCATTATTTAAGACCAGACCTGGGATTTCATCGATATAGGGAACTCTCGAAAAGAAAGCTCGCTCACCAGTGCAGATCAGCACCTTTTTTTTGGGTGACTTAGATCCTTACTTAGCAAGTTGCCTGGGGCACAGAGGACAGGTGACCTGCCCAGGGACACACAGCCCGTTTGTGTCAGAAGCAAGTTTAAACCCAGGTCTTACTGACTCCCAGGCTGCTCTCCCTCCAATGCCCCAGGCTGCCTCCCTAGAGATTCTGAAAGCAATTGACAGGATGAAAAGAGGCATCCACTTCACCACTCATGATCAGGCTTTTGGCATTTGTCCATCTGTGTGTTCCAGGAGAGGGGGAGGAGCCATGGTTATTCTCGTGTAGTACTTTTAAGTTTGCAAAATGCTTTACCTACACAATCTCGTTGGAGTCCTGCAGTAACCCTGGTCCTCGCTACCTGGTGACCTTGTGAAAGTTACTCAGCCTTCCTGATCCTCAACTTACTCATCGATAAAATGGACAGGAGGTTGGTTGGACTAGAAGGCCTCAGATTACTTCCAGGCTGGAGTCTCAGGATGGGAATTTATTAATGCCCCAGGGGCTCAAATGCTAACTTAGCTTCCTCATTTACTAAGCATCTCCTTAGGTACCTCACCAAATGAGAGAACCTGACCTGGTGACCATCTTTATTATTTTGTGGTTTCATGTGCCCCTCCCCTGATGTGGTGGTCACTTTGGATGCCTTCTCAGCTGCGAGTTCGGTTTGAGATGGAGATCGAGCGGATGAAACAGATGCACATGAAGGATCAGGAAGACAAGGAGGAAGAGCTGGAGGATGTGCGCCAGTCCTGCCAAAAGCGGGTATGTCATTGGGTGCTCTGGTGCCTGGGGGGCTCGTCGTAACTCCAGAGCCTGGCTGGCTGGACTGGTTTTAGCAGGGCACCTAGAAAGCTGCATTCTAAAAGCTGGCAAGAGCCAATTAAAGGGCAAGGGTGCCATGGTGCCCTCTTGGAGGGTTTGGGAGCAGAAGACCTGCTGTGTGATCACCAGTGTGTCCAGGAACCTTTTAAGCTGCTCTGAATCACTCCACCAAATTTCCCTTCAACTCACTGAGAAGTAGATATTGTTGTGGTGCAGTCATTTTGGTTGTGTTCAACTCTCCATTACCCCATTTGGGGTTTTCTTAACAGAGACACTAGAGTGGTTTGCCATTTCCTTTTCCAACTCATTTTACAGATGGGGAAACTGAGGCAAACAGGGTGGAGTGACTTGCCCAGCGTCACACAGCTAGAAAGTTTCTCAGGTTGGATTTGAACTCAGATATTTCTGACTCCAGTGCTGGCACTCTGTGTGCTATGGCACTATCCAGCTGCTCTGTCCTTCTAGTACCCAGGGTTAAAACCTCAGAGTCATTTTTGACTGTTATCCTTCTCTCCTCTCCCTCTTATCCAGTCAGGACCACAGGATTATAGATATGAATCAGCTTAAGTTAGTAAGCATTTATTAAGTGCCTACTATGTGCCAGGCCTATGCTAAGCATTAATACAAGGAAAGGCAAAAATAAAAATCCCTGCCCTCTGAATACCCTCCCTAAAGCACAGTTCTGATCATTTCGCTATAAATAATTTCATCATTTTATTGGTTTCTAAGAAAAAAAACACAGTGAGTGTTCTGAGCTTGGCCTTTAAGGCCCTATACAATCTCCATCCTTACTGAACCATCACTCCTCTTTGGCCACTCTATGTTCTGGCCAAAGAGGTCCTCTAACTGCTTCACAGACTTGACATGCACTCATAAATCTACCTTCACACAACTCTCTCCATGTATTCACATGGACCATTCCTCATATCTGGAACCCAGGACCTGCTCATTCCTGCCTTTCAAAATCTTCTTCCCATAAGGCTCAGCTCAGATGTCACCATGTCATTGTGGTCTTCCCTGATTGGCCCTTCCTCCCAGCTAAAAAAATTCTCCCTTCTCAGTTTTCCTAGAGCTCCCCATATTCCCATCACTCCTTACCCCATGCTTGACCATCTGTATATATGTCATCTCTTTCCCATCCTCAGTAGGATGAAAGCTCCTTGAGGGCAGTCCAGAGGACAGGGATTCATCATTTCTGTTTTTTTTTACTCCTAGCACTGAGCCTAGGGCCTGGAGCACTGTACCTTAAGTAAATGATTGAAGAGGATTGATGTCCTTAATAGAGACTTGTCAGTCCCATGACATAGACAGGGCTCTTCCAGAGAATTTTCATAATTCAATTAATTTCAAGTAATATCATTCTTGAGTCCTTATTATGTGCCTAGAACTATGCTAGCCTAAGCTTTTCATGATACGCTTATGAAAAAGATGGAGAGATGTGGGCTGCATTGTAATATAATTAGAAGGATTCAGAAATAGTTAAATAGTTGGGCCCCCAAAATAATAATTGGATGTCATTAGAAAGTAATCTCCAGTGGTGTGCACCAAGCATCTGTGTTTGACCCTATTGGTTAGCATTTTTTAACAAAGACTTGGATAAAAGCATAGATGATATGCTGATCAAATATGTAGCTGCCACAAAACTGGGAAGCATAGCTAGCACACTCATGATTCTAAAACATTTTGGCAGGACATTGAGCTAAATCTAAGAGGATGAAATTTAATAAGGTTAAATATAAAGTCTTTTAGTTTCAGAAAGTAAATTTCACAAGTAGAAGATGGATGATATGTGACTACATAGAAACTCATCTGAAGATCTGGGGGGTTTAGTAAAATATAAACTTTCTTGTTTATTTTTTGTTAGATTTATCTAGGTCTGAAAGGGGTAAATTAAGGTCTCCCATTAGTGTAGTTTTAGTGTCCATTTCTTCTTGAAATTCATTTAACTTTTCTGTTAGGAATTTAAATGCTATGCCATTTGGGGCATAGTATTATTATTATTTCATTGTCTATGGTACTCTTTTTACCGAAATTCAGTTTCCCTATCTCTTTTAATTTTATGTTGTCCAAGATCATGATCATTATCCCTGATTTTTTTTTATTTCATATGAAGCATAATAGATTCTGTTCTAACCCTTTATTTTAACTCTGTGTTTATCTTTCAGTTTAAGTGTGTTTCTACTAACAATGTATTGTTGGATTCTGGTTTCTAACCCATTCTGCTATCCTTTTCTATTTTATGAGTGAGTTCATACCATTCTCATTCACTGTTATGATTACTAACCATGTATTTCTCTCCATCCTATTCTCTTAAACTTTTCTTCCTCTTTTTTTGTCCTGTTCCCTCTTTAAGAGTTAATTTTGTTTCTAACTAATGCCTCCCTTAATCTACCCACCGTGTTATTCCTCCCTTTCCCTTTAACTCTTTCCCCTTCTGCTGCCCCTTGTAGGTTAGCTACATCTCTGAATACAACTGTGTTTATGTGTAGTCTTCCTTTTTTATAACCAGTTCAGATGAAAGTGAAGTTCAAGTATTGTCTGCTACCCCTTCAAACTAGTCCTTGTTTTATAAACTCCTGCTCACACACCCCATCTATGTGACATTTCCCTACATTCTTCTTTTCCATTACTTATTCTCCCGGTGTCTTCCTTTTCTCCATTCTTCCCATTCTTCTTTTGAGATCATCAAAACTTAATAAAATCATTCTCACATCCCCTGTCTAATTAGATTTCCGTCATGACCCATGTTGATAGTAGAGTTCTGAGAGACTATATATATAGTCTACTAATAAAAGAATCTACATAGTTAATCTTATTTAGTTCCTTGTATTGCTCACTCAAGTTTATTTATTTATTTTTTTTTACACTTCTCTTGACTCCTATGTTTGCATGCCAAATTTTGTACTTGGCTATGGTCTTTTCTTCAGGAATGCTTGGAAGTTCTCTACTTCATTAAAGATCTATTTCCACCTCTGTAGGATTATACTGTTTTTTCAGATAGGTTATTTTTGGTTGCAAGCCTAGATCCTTTACCTTTTAGAATGTAATGTGCTAAGCTCTCCATTTCTTTATAGTGGTGGTTGCTAAATCTTGTGTGATCCTGACTGTGCCTCCTCCTCAGTACTTCTTTCTGGTTGCTTGCAGTAATTTTCCCTTGATTTGGAGCTCTGGATTATGACTAATATTCCTAGGAGTTTTCATTTTAGGAGATTCTTTCAGGAAGTGTCCAATGAATTATTTCAATTTCTACTTTGTCCCCTAGTTCTATGAGATCTTGGCAGTTTTCTTTTATGACTTTTTAAAATATGATGTTTAGGCTTTTGTTATTGTTGTTCATGGCTTTCAAATAGTTCAATGATTCTTAATCTTTCCTCTATTTTCCAGGTCAGTTGTTTTTCCTATGAGATATTTCACATTTCCTTCTATTTTTTCAGACTTTTGATTTTGTTTTATTATTTATTGATGTCTCGCAGAATCATTAGCTTCCACAAACTGGAAATTTCTAATTTTTAGGGGGTTATTTTCTTAGATGAGATCTTTATTTCAAGCAGTTGATTTTCTTTTTACATATTTCTTTCCTCTGCTTCTTGCTTTTGGTTTTTAAAATCATGTTTTAGCTTTTTAAAAACTCTTGCTTTAACTTCTCTAGGAATTCTTGTTGGACTTGCGTTCAAGCTGTACTTTTCCTTGAGGCATTGCTGATAGATGTTTTTAAGTCATTCTCCTCTTTTGTTTTTATGTCTTGAGCTCCCCTGTTACCAGATTAGCTCTTTATGGTGGGATTATTTTTTTTGTCTGCTCATTCTTTAAGCCAGCTCCTTGACTTTAGATGTTCTATTAGTTCTGGGCTCTGCTCATTTCTGAGGAGGATGTCTGGCCTGAGCGTCTGTCTTTTTACATCCTCCTGCTGCTTTCACAGCCCTGACTAGGAGTCTGCAATCTTTCAGTGCTTTCAAGGTGTGATCTAGGAAAAGGTGTGAGCTCTACAAGTTCCTGACTCAGGTTTGGGTCAGTTGGCTTGTTCTTTGTTGAGAGTTTCAGTAGACTGCTGCTGGACTCTGTCACTACTAGCCTACAGGTTCAGAGCAGATGAATTACCTGCTCCCCTTTGATCTAGGATTCCCACCCTGGTTATTTCACTGCAGACTTACATGTTGGGTTAAAGGCTGGAACTGAGCTCCAGCTCTGATCGTGGGGTCAGAATCACAGAGCCAAGTTTCTAGAACTTGTTCCTTGCTCAGTACATGGGGCTCATGCTTGTGACTGTTCTTCTTAGACCTGGAATTGGGTAGTGAGTAACAGAGCTACTAAAAAGCTCCTGTTCTCAGTTCTGGTTCAGGGATCCCCTGAGATTTCTTATTGCCCTGATGCCTTTTGCCTTGGTGCCCCATCTTGGTCCTTCTTTGATCCCTGGGTACTGGAAAGCTTCATGTACACTCATGGATGGACCCACAGTATCCACAGACTTCTCTGTCTCCCTAAGCTGCCCTGAGCTGGACAAAATGAATCGCTGTAATGTTTTCTTTTCTTTTTAAAAGAAAGATTAATTTATTTTGATTTATCAACAATCATTTCCATAAGCTTTTGAGTTTTAAATTTTCTTCCCTCTCCCTATCCCCCTCCCTTCCTAAGATGGTGTGCAATCTGATATAGCTTTACATATACATTCCTATTAAATATATTTTCACATTACTCATGTTATAAGGAAGAATTAGAACCAATAGGAGGAACTACCAGAAAGAGGAAACAAAACAAAACAGAAGAAAAAAAATAGCAAATAGTGTGCTTCAATCTGCATTCAAACTCCATAGTTCTTTCTTTAGATGTGGATAGCATTTTCCATCATGAGACTTTTGGAGATGTCTTAGATCCTTGCATTGCAGAGAAGGTCTAAGTCTATCAAAGTTAGTCATCGCACAACTTGGCTGTTACTGTGTACAGCATTCTCTTGGTTCTGCTCACTTCACTGAGCATCAGTCCATACAAGTCTTTTCAGGTTTTTCTGAAGTCTGCCTGCTCACCATTTCTTATAGCATAATAGTATTCCATTACTTTTATATTTCACAACTTGTTCAGCCATTCCTCAATTGATAGGCATTCCCTCACCTTCCAATTCTTTGCCACCACAAAAAGAGCTGCTATAAATATTTTTGCACATGTGGGTCCTTTCCCCATTTTTATGATCTCTTTGGGATCCAGCCCTAGAAGTGCTATTGCTGGGTCAAAGGGTATGCACATTTTTATAGCCCATTGGGCATAGTTCCAAATCGTTCTCCAAAATGGTTGGATCATTTCACAACTCCACCAACAATGCATTAGTGTTCTAATTTTCCCACATCTTCTCCAACATCTATCATTTACCTGTTTTGTCATGTTGGCCAATCTGATAGGTGTGAGGTGGTACCTCAGAGTTGTTTTGATTTGCATTTCTCTAATCAATAGTGATTTAGAGCATTTTTTCATATGACTATAGATGGCTTTAATTTCTTCATCTGAGAAGTGCCTGTTCATATCCTTTGACCATTTATCAATTGAGGAATGACTTGTATTCTTATAAATTTAACTTAATTATCTATATATTTTAGAAATAAAGCCCTTATCAGAGAGACTGGTTGTAAAAATTCTTTCCCAGTTTTCTGCTTCCCTCCTAATCTTAGTTGCATTGGCTTTGTTTGTGCAAAAACTTTTCAATTTAATGTAATCAAAATTATCCATTTTGCATTTCATAATGCTTTCTATCTCCTGTTTGGTCGTGAATTCTTCTGTACTCCATAGATCTGACAGGTAAACTATTCCTTGCTCTCCCAGGTTGCTTGCAGTATCAGCCTTTATATCTAAATCATGAACCCATTTTGATTTTATTTTGGCATATGGTATGAGATTTTGATCTGTGCCTAGTTTCTGCCATACTCTTTACCAGTTTTCCCAGCAGTTTTTGTCAAATAGTGAGTTCTTATCCCAGAAGCTGAGGTCTTTGGGTTTATCAAATAGTAGATTACTATAGTCATTGACTACTGTGTCTTGCATACCTAACTTGCTCCACTGATCCACTACTCTTATTTCTTAGCCAGTGCCAAGTAGTTTTGATGATTGCTGCTTTATAATACAATTTAAGATCTGGAACAGCTAGGCCACCTTCCCCTGCATTTCTTTTCATTAGTTCCTTTGATATTCTGGACTTTTTGTTATTCCAAATGAATCTTTTTGTTATTTTTTTCTAGCTCTATAAAAGTAATTTTTTGGTAGATTGATTGGTATGACACTGAATAAGTAAAGTAAGTTAGGTAGAATTGTCATTTTTATTATATTAGCTCAGCTCACTGTAATGTTTTCTTACCTTTCCCAATCAGAAATAAGTCTAGTGCATTTTCTAGATTGTTGTGGAGAAGAGATAATGGGGGCTAAGTTCAACTGCTTTCTCTTACTCTTCTGCCATAGATCACCAGGAAAATCACAGGAAAATGAATGCAACCTTGCATTAAGAGAGGCTATATTCGAACACCCCCATCTGCACTGTTATGCTCAATAGTGAGCAGTGCTCTGTGTCTGTTTATGTTCAGTGAAGGGCACTACCTGTGTATATTTGTGTCTACATAATTATAGGTATTTAAGTGTACATACACATATGCTATACACATTCAGGTTTACAAAGCACCTTTCCTACAATAACCCAAAGATAAGTAAGACCTGCATTATTATTGTCCCCATTTTATAGGCAAGGAAACTGAAGCTTAGAGAGGTTGAGAAGATTCTCGTAGTCTTATGATTAGTAATTATCCAAGGCAGGATTAAAAGTCAGGTTTCTTTTAGGGCTACTTCTCCTAGGCTATGCTGCCTCAATTGACTGCAGTAGAGAGCTCAGAGAAAGGAGAGGTCTGTTTGGGTTAATGAGAGAAAGGAGGTTCTGGAGGAGGAAGTTGGTAACTGGACCTGACCGTCTAGTTTTCTGGCTTGGATGCTCTATGTTTTTATCATCCTAATGCTAAAAAAATTTCATGCAAGAGGCGAGCACATTTAGCCGAAGCAATAAGAATCAAGGATAGCGTAGGATTGGAATAAGCACAGAGGAGGAAGAAACAGTAACTTCTCTTGGGAACTTAAGCTCTCTCATCTCTTAATTTTATCCTGGACTTTAGGGTGCAATGGAGAGATTCCTTCTGGATTTGGATTTGGAGTCAAAAGATGTTAACCCCATATCTGCCACTTTTTACCTGTAAAACCAGGACAAATCCTCTCCCTTCTCTGGGCCTCAGTTTCCTATTCTGTAAAATAAGGGAATTAGACTAAAGATAATCTCTAAAGATATTTCCATCTTGAAATCTTATGATCTAATTTGATAACCTCAAGCTCATCATGAGTTAAATTGAACTCATTATTTCTCCCACCAAGCCTGCTGTCCTTCTGAGTTTCTCTATTTCCGTCACTGATAAAATCATGATCCCTGGCACCCTGGCTCAAATTGAAGTCATCCTTGACTTTCCCTTTTCTATCACTCCCCAACATCCGGTCACCATATTAAGTTAATTCTTCCTTTATCTCCCATTTGACTTTTGATTTTTATCCCTCCTCCTGCCACTGCAGCCCAGGCCCTCCTTGTCTCAGACCCAGACTCCTCCAGCAGCCTCTTTTCTTGGTCTTTTTGCTTCTGTCTCCCCAGTTGACCATGAGCATTTTTAAGGAGACACTTGTCTGTGTAGAACCCTCCCTTCCATGGAAGTAGGCAAGGAGCTTGCCATCTGTGGCCATGGGCCTCTCTGGCCTTGGGCTTTGCTAAATTTGTGAATTTGTGGGAAGGATTCATCCATCAGGTTGGAGAAAGAGCTGCTGGTGGAGAGGAGAGGCTACTGTTCTCTGGGGGATTGGGGAGGGGTAAGACTGAGCCTATCCCAGGCTCGGTTAGGCACTTGACAGATGGGTGGCACCATTACTGTCAGGGCTCTGACCCTGGCAAAAACAGCCAGTGTTACGTCTCAATCTACTCCCAGACAAAACCTATGTAGCCCTGGCATTCTGTCATTCTGGGGGATATAATAATAGACAGACTTTTAGCAGGCAGCCTCATTCTTCATTGTGATAGGATTTCTCTAGGCCTCTGTCTCTGCTTCTGGGGCCTGTCTCCTCACACACTCACTGACCACTCAGCTCAGACTGGCCTCAAGTCACCTCCTCGAGAAGGACAATGTACTTTTAGCCTGAGACCAGAGCTGTACCTGGTGATTTCATACCCTGGCAGGGAGCAAAAAAACACAGCTTGGGGTGGGGTGTATAATGAAGCAAAGAAGGAGGGGAGTATCTCACCACATGGCACCTTCCCTCTCTTCCTCTCGCCCTCCTTCCCCTCCTTCCTTCCTTTCCTTTCTTCCTTCCTTCCTTCCCCCTTCCTCCTTCCTTCCTTCTTTCTTTCTTTCCTTACCTCTTTCCTTCCTTCCTTCCTTCCTTCCTTCCTTCCTTCCTTCCTTCCTTC